TAATGACATTTAAATTTATGTTTTTGATCTTTTAAATGGTAATGTAATATTGGAAATATCATTGAATGCATGATGTGAATCAATACTAGAATCATCAACGCTAGTATCACCGGTTGCCTGATTAAAACCGGTTTTATTAAATACGGTTTAAAACCGGTTCCGATTTTGTGTCGTTGTAATACGATTCTATTAATAAATTCGATGTAACAAAATTCATTGTTTGACTGTATAACAAATAATGTCTTTATTAGTTCTGTGTCCGAGTCTCGAAGATGATAATTTATTTTAAAGTCAATAATATTAATACAATAATACAATCACAAATTCTTCCAATTTATTTATACTAAATCGTAACAATAATTTCCGCTCATTGTTAGTGCATGTACAATTCATCCTATGCCATTTTAGTTTTAGTATCATTTTTTCCCATTCCTTTATTTGGTACTTATCATTAAAGGTGAGAAACACCAAAATACTTGTTTCACACGGCAAACATAGTAATCTCGCTTAATACGAATCGCTGATAAAACCTACGTAAAGATAACTGTTAATTAACTTTGTCCTACCAATTATACATGTAATTATTTTTAAAAAAGAAAAAGAAATCATTTCTTTAACTGTGTAAATGAGTCTTGTTAAAAACATTATTTTTGCAACATGAAATAAATATGGGCTTGGAATAAACCATCGCTAATTAATTGACACTTTTCCACATACTAACTCGTATTTCCAAACAAAAAATTTATATAGTCAAAAAGCACACCATGGCATCAACTCTCGTTAAGCTAGTTGGCCGAAATAAGAAATTCAAGCTCGTTACCTTTATTAGAGAAGTTGAAAAGAATGAAAAGAAAACTCCATCACATATGATACCACACAGCTTAAATCAGATTTAAATATTAATTACCTACTTGACCATTATTATTTTATTTAAATAGAGAATCATTAATTTGTTTATTAGATAGACCGTTATTTAATTATTATTGTTTATTTTAATATCAATATAATTATTATTTATGATGTTGAAGTGTATTATTACACAAGAACGAATAAGGAAGAAATTGATGACTAACATCTAATAAATTTCCCTTGTCCTTGTCCTTGTCCTTGTGATTGTCTTCGGATTTTATAAATCTATCAATTCATATTAATCCCATGCATAATATTTTATACTTGTCTCTATTTTTTCTATTTTTTTTTTTTTTTTTAATGTGGTAATATTTAATAAATTCTATTTAGTGAAGTTTTGACACCTGCCAAGAAACGTGATCA